AGAAAACACTGACACTTCCCATTGGTTTTAATCAAAATACTCAATTAAGTACATCAGGCCAACCATCTGCTGGGAGCAGATGCTCATTAGGATGAAAGTCAAAAAGATTAGGCAGGCCAGATATCTAATACCCTACATTACCCAGGTCCCAAGCCTTCAGAAGATTTTTGTTCTTCCAGTAATTACCAGGAATATGTCAAATGCCAGGGCTTCTCATTTCAGTTTCATGAACCTCAAACATGCAGGAAAATATTATAAGCTTAACATTTTGGCAGATACTCCCTACTTGAACTCAGTTAAAACATGGCACAAGCCGAAACCGGTTTGGCTCAGTGGATAGAGCGTCGGCCTGCGGACTGAAAGGTCCCAGGTTCGATTCCGGTCAAGGGCATGTACCTGGGTTGCAGGCACATCCCCAGTGGGAGATGTGCAGGAGGCAGCTGATCGATGTTTCTCTCTCATCGATGTTTCTAACTCTCTATCTCTCTCCCTTCTTCTCTGTAAAAAATCAATAAAATATATTTAAAAAAAAAAAAAAAAAACATGGCACAGAAGACAGAACAGAGTTGTTATAAGTCAGACAGACCAACCTGGTTTAAAGTTCCAGGACTACTACCTCTCACTGTGTTATACTGTACAAGTGACATAACTTCTCTGAACCTCAGTTTTCTTCCCTGTAGAATGGAAATGCGCCATCTACTTCACAGGGTTGTAACAGTGATTAAAGGAGATAATGATTGGGAAAGCACTTAGAACAGTACCTAGCTCATAGTAGGCAGCATTAACTTCACTTCCTTCTTTATTATCAGTTGCTGTTATGACAGAGCTAGAGCTGTCTGCTAAAAAGTCAGCAGGGGGAGCTCTTCAGATTTTAGTGTGTTTCCCCCAAAAAATACCTGGTAGTGTTCAGTGGCTTTAAATGTATTTATACCTCTTTAAGTACAGGTTCAGAATTTACATTCTGAAGAAGGGGCATGAGGTGGGTTGATAGGTACTGGAGGCCATCAGGAACCTACAGAATTGTGGGGAATGGATCAAGATAGGTAGAAGAGACAAACATTCACAGACTATCAAAACACTTCTCTGTAGTAGGCTCTTATGGGAGGAAGTGGGAAGAATGGACCTTAATTTTCTACAAATCCATTTTTGTTGATGATTTTGAATGGCTTTGGCTAGGGTCCACTGGAGACTCATTTGCCACCAAAGTACTGGTCATGCCTCCTAAAATTACAGGTGTTTATATGCTTTTGTCCTGCAGGTCTGTCAAATTTCCATGCTTCAAAAAGCCACTTTGCAAAAAGCCACTCACCACACAAAGTCTTGCTTTATGTTTGGAGCTAAGCAAACAGCGAGATTGAGACATGGCCAACCACCTAGACTTTGAGCTATAGGAGGGCAGGGGTCATATTCACTCTGGTAGCCTAGAACAGTACCTGGCACATGGGTGCAGAACAAATATCTGCTGAACATAATTATTCTGAGACCATCACAACCTCATTCCAAATCATACAAGAGGAAGTACCTTACCATAAAAATTGAGAGTGCTTACTGCTAAAAGGCCATTATTATATCAGTGATATTACAAGCTCACAAGTTTAATAAAACATCTGTGTCTAGGAGGGCACAAAGGCTCGGGGAAAGGGCTGTTACATAATAAGATTTTCCTCAGCAAGCACCACTGTATTCATAGAAAGCTATGTCTAAAAGCCACTTAAAATACAGGCATACTTCATTTTACTGTGCTTAGTTTGCTTTATTATGCTTCACAGATGTTGCCCCCTTTTAAAAAAAAATAAGTTAAAGTCACGACCCTCTACCAACAAAAGATTACAACTCACTTTATTAAGGTGGTCTGAAATTAAACCACAATATTTACAAGGTATGTACACCTATAGAGGAACTAAAATGAATAAGAAAAACCCTGAAGATCAGCAAGTTCCCTGGGGGTGTTTTCTCTGTTCCAGAGTAAGATCCTGGAAAAAGAATGCTATTTTGATGCTTTGTCCTTTAAAGTAACTGTGGGGAGGCAGATTAGGAATCTCTGGAGTCCCAATGCCTGGTTCAGTTCTGGCTCTTCTACCAGCTTCATTACGCTGGGTAAGTCAACCTTCTAGGCTTTTAGTTTTCTTTACTGTTAGATAACAGCACTCATCTCATAGGATTACTGTGAGAGATGAAATTACTGGGAAAAAGCACTTAAATCACTCCCTATTGCCCTGACCAGTTTGGCTCAGTGGCCAGAACATCAGCCTGTGGACTGAAGAGTCCCTGGTTCGATTCTGGTCAGGGGCGTGTACCTTGGTTGCCGGCACATCCCCAGTGGGGGGTGTGCAGGAGGCAGCTGATGGATGATTCTCTCTCATGGATGTTTCTAACTCTCTATCCCTCTCCCTTCCTCTCTGTAAAAAAAATCAATAAAATATATTTTTTTAAAAATAAATAAATCACTCCCTATGGTTTGGTATACAGCAAGCACTCAATGTTAGGCTTTCTTTGGTTGCTGCTGTTGTTGTTATTGGGCTTTTCTCAACAGAAGTAAAAGGTAAGACAACTGTCAATAAAAACTGGAGAGACATCCAAATATCTACAAATAATGAAGGCTTTTAAGAAAAGGGCAATGGGCACTCTGTAACATGTATCTTGAGAGGATGGGAGAAGCTAGTTTAATTATGAATGGAAACCATCTGCTAATCTAATTCAGGAGTGAGATTCTTAAAAAATCTAGATTTCCTTCCCCTCATGGCCCTTTGTATCTTTGTTAGAGAATGTTTCTTAATAGAAAAAACTGGCTGCTGGAACACAACCCCAATATTCAAATGTATCCATAAGTGAAATTGGGTCACTTGGGGTCAGACCTCTGGGCATAAAGTAAGGAACAGAAAGTGAAGGTAGAGTTATTAAATCAAAAGAAGAAAAAACAACATACAGCTGTTCCAAAAAAACTAAATGCCAGGAAACAGAGATTTCTCCAGCAGTAGAGGAGCAGGGGGTGCTGTGTGGGGTGGTGGAGGCAGATGTCTGGAACAAAGAAGGGTGGAGAAGAGCTCCATAGTGCTGTCTGGCAGCAAGTGATTATCTGCCAGCGAAGAGCTTCTACATGTCCCCACCCGAAGCGACAAGCAAGAAGCAGAGCCATGGGATCTGTTTACAACTTGGGCCAGAAACCCCTCAGATGAGGCTGTCAGTAGACCATGGTGTAGTATGCTTCCGGCCACGCCTGGGCCTACGAAGTCCTGGTCTCCAACAGAGAAAGCACAAATATTACTGGGAATTCTAGGTCTTGACCTTTAGTCAAGGATACTGCTCAGGGGAGGCCAGATCCCATGCCTTTCAGCTGTCATAGCAGCTTCATTAGAAATCACCTTCTCACCCTAGCTGGTTTGGCTCAGTGGATAGAGCGTCGGCCTACAGACTAAAGGGTCCCAGGTTCGCCCTGACCGGTTTGGCTCAGTGGATAGAGCATTGGCCTGCGGACTCAAGGGTCCCGGGTTCGATTCTGGTCAAGGGCATGTGCCTTGGTTGCAGGCACATCCCCAGTGGGGAGTGTGCAGGAGGCAGCTGATTGATGTTTCTCTCTCATTGATGTTTCTAGCTCTCTGTCCCTCCCCTTTCCTCTCTGTAAAAAATCAATAAAATATATTTTAAAAAAATAAAAAATAAAAAAAAAAAATAAAGGGTCCCAGGTTCGATTCTGGTGAAGGGCACATACTTTGGTTGTAGGCTCCTCCCAGGCGTGGGCCCTGGTCAGGGCTCGTGCAGGAGGCAACCAATTGATGTGTTTCTCTCACATCGATATTTCTCTCTGTCTTTCCCTCTCTCTAAAAATCAATGGAGCCCAACCAGCATGGCTCAGTGGTTGAGCATTGACCTATGAGCCAGGAGGTCATGGTTCGATTCCCGGTCAGGGCACATGCCCAGGTGGTGGGCTCGATCCCCAGTGTGTGGGGTGCAGGAGGCAGCCAATCAATGATTCTCTTGTCATCATTGATGTTTCTCTCTCTCCCTCTTCCTTGCTCTCTGAAATTAAAAAAAAGAAAAGTCACATTCTCCCACCTGACAGTGCCACTGGCTCACATACAGATCCCTACCTTTAACCTTCATGTGGCCTAGATTTTCCAAAACGTAAGCATTGCTTATGAAAGATATACTTTAAAAAAAAAGTAAAGATATATTTAAATGCCCTGACTTTAAAAAATATTTTATTGATTTTAGAGAGAGGAAGGGAGAGTGAAAAATGGGATGACACTCAACCAACTGAACCACACTGGCCAGGGCATGACTTGATTTTTATACCTTTTATGCCTTCACATACATAAATTACAAGTTGGCAGTGGACATGATGGGAAGGGAGGAAAAGAGTGTGATGGAGAAATAACCTTTGTCAGGAAAAAAAAAAGAATTCTGCTAGCTTCTTCTTCAGACTGCCCAGAAGCAGCAGCACACACTGTGTCTCAGAGCCCAGTTGCACCATGCATCTTAGTCCCTGTCACTAAGCTATTCAGCCACATAAAACTGCGTCTTCTGTTCTGTGGAGATTTCTGAGCCAGCTCTATGGGTCTCTCCTCCTTTCTTGGAAGATTCCACAGTGTCTGGAAACACCATGTGCTGCCAGTAGCAAAGGGTAGGAGAGGTGTGCATTAAGCCCCTAATTAAATCACAGGCTCTGGCTCAGGAGTATCTCACCAACTGAAACTTGAATAAGACACTGCTACCATTCAATAGCCAGAATTTAATTGCTAAATTATGAGAGAAAAAAAATGGTTTAAATGGGAGGGGGAATTTGAAAGATGTTTGAAGGAAGTAGAAATATGCAAGAGAAACAGTTTTCTTTAATCTTGTAGTTTCTAGCCTTGAAATAAGGAACTGAGTACAATACCTCAAAACAGAGATTTTGTCCAGGTGGCAAGATGCTGTCAAATCAATATAAGTAAAGGAGGGGAAAGTTTTACCTGGCTCCCTGCCACTTCAAATTTTCATAATCCAAAGAAACATTTCCTTACCTGCCAGGACCCTGTTAACAGAAGAGTGAGTAGCCAAGCCAGGCTGTCCACGTTCATGAAAAATCCCAGCATAAGGCAAGTACTCAGGCAGCAAGAAACGCCTACAAGAAGGAATCACATGTGAAAAGCCTACTAAAGACAACCATAAAACAAGGGAGATATACTATGAATCAATGCTAACGAATCCACTAGACCCGTGGTCGGCAAACTGCGGCTCGCAAGCCACATGCGGCTCTTTGGCCCCTTGAGTGTGGCTCTTCCTAAGCCTTAGGAGTACCCTAATTCAGTTAATAACAATGTACCTACCTATATAGTTTAAGTTTAAGAAATTTCAATCGTTGTACTGTTGATATTTGGCTCTGTTGACTAATGTGTTTGCCGACCACTGCACTAGACCTAGGAATCCACAGAAGCTCGGAGTCGAGTAAAAATTCCTAGGATTTGTACGTTCACAGAATTGTACCTCCTTCTTGATCTTTCTTCTAAAGTTCCCCAGGGCTTTTATTCTTGAACAGGATGCTCCCACCACCACTATTCTATCTCTTTTTACTGTGGCCAATCATCTCCTGTCAAGTCTTTAGGTGGCAGGGCTGGATCATAGGCTCACTAGAAAGTAATTCCAGATATGGACAGTCCAAAGATCAAAAAGTAGGTTTAAAAACTAAATCCAGGCTTTCATAAAGGCTCCTTCATAAAAGTCTCTCATAAAGACTAACTACCCAGTTCTTACCTTGGTACAAAGCGTCCCAGTGAAGGTGCAGACATCCGGGCGTTGCGTGGAGCTCGGTGCCTGGATCTGTCACCATTGTCCCTGGAGGAAACAAAAAGACTGCACATAAGAGAGTCACTAAAGCAGAATCAGCCACCAGCCCAAAAGACCAGCATCCCCCAAACTAAATTCCTACACCTGGGGGAAGACCCCAGAGAAATCAGTGATCTGTTTGCTTACTAATTTGGGTGGCACATTCATATACTCTATTTCTGGAGTACCTCAACTAAATGATCCAGGAGCATTTGTTTCAGTAAGGAGGAGTATAGGGAGCAGCTATAGGGTCAAGCCTCGGACTGACCTGTAGCAGAGTCACATACAAGTCTCAGCTTGGAGGGCAGAGCCCTCCCAGCACAATTAAGCTTGACCTTATAGTCCTCACTTGTTCCTAGGTAGCTAATGGGCTGTGGGAAGTGCAGCAAGTGCTGCCAAAACAAGGCTTGAGTAATGAAATAGATGTGAAACTCTCTCGCAAGAATAATGTAAACATGTGGAACACTCCCCTTGTTTTGCTTTGTGTGATGTGACTATAAAATAAAGCTTCAGCTTACAGGCTGTGTCACTGTTTCCTCATCGAGACACAGTGATCCTACCTTGCCCCAACTGTATTCTCTTGTCTGTCTTTTTTACCTTCACCACCCTTCCTCAGGTTCACCCCTGGCCATGCTGGACGCAGTTGAGGAGAAAGGTTTTTCTTAAATTAATGTGATCTCTGAGCTTTGCTGCTTCTGAAACTGAAGCCAGGTTTAGATCTTCTAAAGGATCTGGAATGGATACTTTTTTCTAAGTTGAAAGATAAAGGGAAATTTTGGCTTTTGGGGATCTTGAAGGAAGAAAACTTCCCTCATCAATTTCATCCCAAAAATGGTTATCTTTCAATGAATCTGTTTAGGTCCTTGGTGTGAAAAAAAACACTAATAAGTGAAAAAAAGACACTAAGTAGTCCTTTCTTTTAAAGGCTGAAAAATGGATAATGACAAAGAATTATTTGACAATACAAATATGTCAGGTCAGTTGAGTAAAAAGAACAAAGTATAGGTGTTTTCTTTACAGTCTGTAATAACCACCATTTATAAAATATCTACTAAATTCTAATACAAAGGTTATTAATATGTTATCCCATTTAATACTTTTAGCTATTCCATAAGATATTATTAGCTCTGTTTTACAGATAAAGAAACTAAGGACCAGAGAGATAATTGCCCAAAGTCACACAACTAGTAAGTGGCTGAGGCGGGATTTAAGGAAGATCTGACTCTGAAGCCCTTGCTCATTGCACTGTACTTCACTGCTTCCTACAAGAAAAGAGAGGGCAGAGACTTCACGTGGCTTAGTTTCCAAAGCATCAAAGGAACAACAAGCCAAAGGGCACTGGCTGGCCCAAGCAGTTAATTAGCTGCTTAACCAAACTCCACAAAATAAATGAACCTCTGAGAGACTGATTAATAAGATCATCTTCAAACTGGCCCTGGAACCAAAATTAAGACAACACTTTGGCTTTCAAATGGACCACTGGGTGCTTTACAAGCCAGAAACAAAAGCCTAAGGAAGGTTTTCATATCTTGGTGGAATTGGATGCTGAACATTTAAAGACAAATCAATACCAGGGATACTGGAAGCTGAACCATTAAAAGTCAACACTTGGTTTTTATTTTCCCAAAAGAAAAAGCATACTATGGTTTTCTCTACATACATTCCGTTGATTTAAAATTCTATAGATCAAGGAAGAGGCAGAAGAGAGACAAGATATATATACTAGTATATGAAAATTAATACATACATATATACGTGATAGCTCAATTTTGAAATAAAACGTATTGTAATAAACACTGCCTATAATTATTAAAAAATGTGTGTATATTTTTGGGGGACACCATATATATATATATATATATCTATATATATATGTGTGTGTGTGTGTGTGTGTGTGTATATATATGAAAATAAGAATGAGATCAGCAGCTCAGATACAAGCAAACAAACATCATCTCAATCTGATGGTTACATTAGGCATCATTACACTGGGTAGCTCAGTTTCTTAGAGCACTGCCTTGATATGCCAAGGTTGCAGATTCGATCCCCAGTCAGGGCACATAAGTGAGTGGAGATGTATTTGCTGGTCCTCAGCTTAACATCTTAACTAATGATGGAGGAGGAACTAAGTAGCATCTCAATAAAATGTAGAAATGACTTCAAACTGACAGTGCTCAGAACCCTAGCAAAGGAGAAATGGCAGAATAGGACCCAGAATGATCAGAAAAAGGTGAAACGCGGTAAACACACAAATGAAATGATGCTGCCTATGGGAGAAAAACAAAGACATCTAAGAGACAACAGCCTATAACAAAAACAGCTCAAGCATTTACTGACCAGAAAAACCTTAAAAACAGAAATGGGTACGGTGTCAAAGGTTTTATAGTCTAAAAAGAAGGGAGAATTCAGAAATAATAAGGAGTTGAGATGGGGAAACAAATTTCAACACATAGGATATTTGCGGAGGGTTGGAGGAGGGGTGGCTTACTAGTAGAAGGAGGGGACAGGAAGATTGGTAAAAGTTCCAAGAAAAAAGCAAAGGAATTAAAAGTACTTAAAAAATAATGTTGTTTTTAGAAAACTACACAGACTCTGCCACTCACTTCAGTGCTAGTACAAGATCAACATGAAGCATGGCTCCATAAGATGAAGGAGGCAAAACTGGTCAGACAGAGACAGTATGAGTGAATTGGAAGTTGTTTTATAGATGAACAGTGGAAAAAAGAAAGATACAGAGAGGGTTTATCTTAGAAACAGAGGAGAGTGCTAAATACTGAGGCCTAACATAGTTCATGCCCTTTCAAGGGGAGCTTAAATAAAATAAACAACAATGGTGAAGACCATGCCCCGGCCAGTGTTGCTAAGTGGTAAAAGCACTGGCCCATCCACTGAGGGGTCACAGGTTTGATTCCTGGTCAAGGGCACGTACCTGGGTTGTGAGTTCCTGCCCCAGTTTAGGCGCATGCAGGAGGCAAGCAGACAATGTGTCTCTCACGTTGATGTTTCTCTCTCTCTCTCTCCCCTCACACCCTCCCTTCCACTCTCTCTAAAAAAGCAATGGAAAAAATATCCTCTGTTGAGGATTAACAAAAACAAACAAACACAATAAAGGTGAAGATCAGAGTGATCAGAGTGCTGGTGCTTTTCCTCCACCACAGGAGGACTTTCCCACCAAAACACTTGCAGGGAGACACCAGAGAAATCCTCATCAATTTCATCAACCAGAAGCTAGAAACTGCCTTTAAGCCAGCAGGATAGATGCTGACTGAGTTATTAATGGCTTTCCCAGTTGTTGAACTCTATGCATCTCTGATTAACTCTCCAAGGGGTATTTGAGGAAGAGAGAGAGAAAATGTAAGATTTTCTTGTAAAATATTTTATAAGGGAAAAACACCCTTCAAACAATCAAGCATCTAAGACAAGTACTGAATACAAGAAAAATATATCTCTGGAACAAGAGAGAAACGCAGCAGCAACCTCTGCTAAATGCCAGGGATTAATTGCCTGAGAAAGGCTATAATTTAAAAATACACCTACAGACTTCTGTCTGAGTCCTGACCAGACAGTCAGGTTGTCATTACTCCTCAGTGACAAATGACTCTGACTCGGGCCTTTATAAATGAAGTTCTTGCAGCAAATAGTTCAAAAGGCCATTGTCCTCTTGACAATACACACATGATTTTGCTGAAAATTAGACTATTAAAAAAATACTTGTCGGTCCGTGTGGTTCAGTGGCGGAGCATCAACCTAGGAATGAGGAGGTCACAGTTCAATCCTAGCCAGGGCACATACCCAGGTTTCAGGATCAATCCCCAGTAGGAGGTGTGCAGAAGGCAGCCAATCAATGATTCTCTCTCTCATCATCACTGATGTTTCTATCTCTCTCTTCCTCTCTCTGAAATCAATAAAAACATACTTAAAACAAAGAAAGAAAAAGTGTGCAGTAATAAAGTATGTTTGTTTAAAAATATATATACTTGTTTCTCTATGCTCTTTTGCTTCTCCTCAATCTTCAGACAAAAGAAGGCCTGTTTGGAATTCCTGTCCCTGGATGGCAGTGATCTTGGACAAGACCTTTCCTTACCTGGGTGCTATGAGGAACTGAGGCCCCAGTCTCTAGTGCCAGACTGTGCATACATGCAAGTGCTTAGATTTCTGGGGGCAGGGCACAGTCCCAGCCGAAACATTCACAGGGGACACCTAAGAGCATAGGTCTCTTGGAACGACAAAGCCTTAATTTTTCTCCAAGGAATAGTGACACAACAGATAATTACTATTAACAAATTCCTCTCCTTGCTTATTCTACCTTCAATTTTATTGCATACATTATGAAAATCATATTCCTATTGTGCATTTTATGTTAAAAAATACATGTATCTTTAAGGGTTATGTCCTCCTTTCCCCCTTCTTCTGTCTTGAGTGTTTAATTCTTTCCTTCTGTATTTTCCCATTCTAAACCCAGGCACAATCCAGACACAGTCCATTTTCTTTCTCTTTTGCATTCTTCATAATAAATATTCATATATATTTTACTTGCACAGAAAGAGTACTAATTCTAAAACTGCCAAACAATATTATGTTTCTAAGCAATAGGCTCAAAATCCTCAGTAAAGAGCTAGACTTCAGGTAGGCATATATTTTATAAATATTTAGGGGCGCTACAGGTACCAGATATCCTATTTCTAATCCTCATGAAGTCTCCCTCACTTTCCTGAGACTTTTCATTATTCTATGTCTGCTGCGTGTAAGGGAAATTCTCCTAAGATAGTTAACTCCAACAAAGATCCAAGAACTTTAGTGCTAAAAGAAACTTCAGAGTTAATCTAATCTCATTGAACTGATCAGACATTGAGGCCCAGACTGGGCAAGGGACTTGCCCAAGGACAAACAACAAATCACAAGCTCAGCCAAAACTAGAACCCAGGATTGTCCCCTAGTCAACAGCCATCAGTGCTCATGTGTTCTCGCCTGTACTTGCCCACAGCTTTCGAACTGGTTTTCCTGCATCC